TGGCATCTGCTCACTCCAGTAACATGAAAAGTCTCAAAGCAATTGTGCAGGGTCTTGACAAAGAAGTCTGACCATCTCGTAGGTGGGTCACCACGTGAACTTTTGATGGTCCTTGGAATTCAGTTGGTAGCAGCTCTAGTCCAGCGGTCATCTCCAAATCTCATTATGTGTCCAGCCCATCTGATTTTTGACGCCTTGGTGAACGAGACAGAGTCCCTGATTCTCGATCATTGAAGGAGGTCTGAACTCCAGATTCTTTCTCTCACTTGAATGAAGCATGATACTCCAAGCATGGCTCTTTGGATTCCTCTTTGGAGACCTGAATAGTGTTCTCATCCTGTTTTTCTAGGGCTCAGGTCTCTGAGATGTATGTTAATGCAGGAAGAACAGTGGAATCAAAGAGATGTGCCCGGACCTGGAGGTTCTTTGTCCTCTTAGCTATTTCTTCAACACTCTTGAAGGCGTTCCAAGCTGCTCACTTCCTCCTGTCAACTCAGGTGCCAGGTCATTCATCACGTTGACTTCTCAACCTAGGTACACGTAAATTGCATTTGGAGATGTTTGCTAGGTTAAGAGCAAATGGAACATCAGGAACCAGTCCGTTTCTCATAAACATTGTCTTCATGAGATTCAGCTGTAGTCTGACCTTTCCACACTCATGGTCGAAGTCGGCCAGAATTTGTGCAGCTTGGCTAATGTTTGGTGTTATGTCATTAGCAAAGCAGAGGTGGTGTAGATGCTGACTGTTCTATCCTCACTCCCATTCTTTCCCATTCCAGTCGTTGCATGAGGTTGTCGAGGGGGGCACTGAAGAGTTTCAGTGAAATTGTATCACCCTGCTGAACCCCTCTCTTGACATGGATGATCACTTCCTTGTAGAATGGTGAGATCCTGATAGTGAATCTGTAATATGACTCACGAAGGATTCTGATGTATTGAGTTTGAACTCCCTGATTATCTTGGCCTTCGATGCCCGCTTCAGTCTCAACAATATCAAAGACCTTCTTTAAATCAATGAACGTTAGACAGAGTGGCATCTTGAACTCCTGAGAAACTTCAATGAGCTTGGTTACAGTGTGGATATGGTTGATCATGCTGAATCCTTTTTGGAACCCGGCTTGCTTGCCTGGTTTTCTTTCATCTAGTGTTCTGCCAATCCTATTTAGGACTACTCGAGTGAACAGCTACTAGATGACAGACAACATGCAGATTGCGCTATAGTTTCCAATGTTGCAGATGTCTCCCTTCTTGTACAATAGAACAGTCCTGCTGGTTTTCCATTGGGATGAAACTTTGCATTCAGACAAGTAGTGTGTTAAGAGCTGAATCACTCTATTGATGAGAATCGATGGCAGGTTCTTCAGGTGTTCAGGTTTGACCTTGTCTGGATTGGGTGCTGTTTGCTTCTTTACTGAGGTAATGACGTGTTGGATTTCAGAATGGAGAACGCTGGGAAGCACATATCCATCCTGTGAAATTTGGTATGTGGTCAGGTGGACATGGTTATCGAAGAGATCATAGTAGAAATCATGGATAATCTTCTCCATTGCCCTTCTGGAAGATGTGATATATTCATCAGGACATTGGAGGGCAGTTATCTTCATCTAGAAGTTGGCCAATGACAGGCAGGGATTGAGATTGCTTTTCCTGGCCTCAGCCACATCTGCCAGCACTGCTGCTCTTCTCCATATGAGGTCTTCCTTTATCACTTCTCTGCATTGCTTTTATTATTTTTTTAAATTTTTTTATCTGCATTGCTTTTAGAGCTCAGACGTTTACTTGCAGTTTCCTGAGGCTCCCGACAAGCCACGTTGGTGAATGAGCTAGAGATTTTGAAGACAGGCATCTTTTTGTGGATACCTCTCTAGGCATTGCTCGCACAATCATGGAGGTGCTGAACCAGTCAATCATATTCTTCATCAATGTTGTCAACGACGGCATCTTCCCATGTTGTTTAAATAGTGCCAAAGATCTCCCGGTTGGTGGTCATTCTGGGAGTTCTCTTCTTAAACTTTGCAGCCCTTTCTTCCCACTCTGTGAAATAGAATTTTGCAGGAAGGAGATGGTGGTTCAATCCTGTTTGGAATTTTGGGACACCAGCCACATTGTCAGGCAAAACCGTCGATTGAATATGATGTGGTCAATGTGGTTGTGGAACCATCCACAGGGATACTCCCATGTCCAACGTTTAGATTCAGCCTTCTGGAACTGTGAGTTACCATGAATGGTCTTGGTCCACATGATGAACTCAATCTCTTTTTTTTTTCCCCCTTTATTTTATTTTATTTTTTTTAAAGTTGTAGATTTACAATTTTTTGTGCTTTGGTTTCAATTATACAATGATCAGATACCCATCCCTCCACCAGTGCCCATTTTCCACCACCATGGATAATATCCCTCCCACCCCCATCCCCCCATCCCCCCTGTCGCTGTGGCAGGGCAATCCCCTGTGTTCTCTCTCTCCTTTTGGGTGTTGTGGTCTGCAAAAGAGGCATTGAGTGGCAAACATGTTCAGTCCATAGTCTACTTTCGACATGCATCTCCCCTCCTGGGAGGATCCTCCAAACATCCTTTATTTGGTGCTCCCTTCTCTATCTGAACTGCCCTTTCCTCTAGGATACCCGGCTGGCCTCTAAGTTATGGAGTAATCCTCCTGGTGCTGATCTCAGCTATTCTTGGGTATTAATCTCATACTTTGTTACTTTATATCCCCCAGATGAATGCAATCTTTCTATGTCTATCCCTCTATTTCTGGCTCATTTCGCTTAGCATGATACTTTCCATATTGTACCACTTGTATGTAAATTTCATGACTTCATCTTTTCTAACAGCTACATAGTACTCCATTGTGTAGATGTACCAAAGTTTCTTTAACCAGTCATCTGTTCTTGGGCATTCAGGTTTCTTCCAGTTTCTGGCTATTGTAAAGAGTGCTGCAATGAACAAACAAGTGCAGATGTCACTTCGACTATACATTTTTGCCTCTCTGGGATATATTCCCAGGAGTGGTATTGCTGGGTCAAATGGGAGCTCAATTTCTAATTTTTTGAGAATCGTCCATACTGTTTTCCATCTACCACAAGCCTACAGCAAGCATCATCCTCAATGGGGAAAAACTGAGAGCCTTCCCTCTAAGATCAGGGACGAGACAGGGATGCCCACTCTCTCCACTGCTGTTCAATATAGTACTGGAAGTACTTGCAATAGCGATTAGGCAGGAAAAAGATATTAAGGGCATTCAGGTAGGAAAGGAAGAAATCAAGCTCTCACTATTCGCAGATGATATGATACTCTACTTAGAGAACCCAATAACTTCCACCAAAAAACTCCTAGAAACAATAGACTCGTATAGTAAAGTTGCAGGTTATAAAATCAATACCCAAAAGTCCATGGCTTTCCTATACGCAAACAGTGAGAGAGAAGAAAGCAACATGAAAAAAACAATCCCGTTCACAATTGTGCCCCAGAAAATCAAGTACCTAGGAATCAGCTTAAATAAGGAAGTAAAGGACCTGTACAAAGAAAACTACAAAACGCTACTTCAGGAAATAAAAGAGGACATGAGGAAATGGAAAGATATCCCCTGCTCATGGGTCGGGAGACTTAACATTGTCAAAATGGCAATACTACCGAAAGCATTGTATAAATTCAATGCAATCCCTATAAGGATACCCATGACATTCTTCAAAGAAATGGAGCAAACACTCTTGAAATTTATATGGAACAATAAGCCCCCACGAATAGCTAAAGCAATTCTTGGGAAAAAGAAAATGGGAGGAATCAACCTCCCGAACTTCAAACTGTACTACAAAGCAGTAATAATTAAAACAGCATGGTACTGGAACAAAGGCAGAACTGCAGACCAATGGAACAGGGTTGAATACACTGACATCTCTCCTCAATCATATGCTCATCTAATCTTTGATAAAGGTGCAAGTAATGTGAAGTGGAGTAAGGAAAGCCTCTTTAGTAAATTGTGTTGGCATCACTGGACGGCTACATGCAAAAAAATAGGCTCAGAACTCTGCCTAACACCATGTACAAAAGTAAGATCAAAATGGATTAAAGACCTCAACATCAGACCAGAAACCATAAGGTACATTGAAGATAAAGTTGGCAAAATCCTCCATGATATTGAAGCTAATGGTATCTTCAAAGATGCCACGCCACTGGCCGAGCAAGTGAGAACTCAATCTCTTACCCGGCTCATTTCATTATAGGCCATGGGGACCAATGTGGAGTTCTTGGGTGACCTCATCCTATCTTGGCATTAAAATCACTGACAATGATCTTGTAGAAGTGTTGTCTTCTTTATAGGACTTCTCCAGCTCCATATAGAACTTCTCAATTTATTTTTATCATAACTGGATCTTGGTGCATAGACAAAGAAGGTAGAAACTGCCAGCAGTGAGCCACATCTATTTAAATGTAATCATCCTATTCCGGTTGTTATGTATTTGAATGAATAAATACTCATGGCCAAGTTTGTGTTGACAAGGACACTGACACCACCAAAGCCTGTTTTCTCTCATGTTCCGAGGAACAGTTCTTCTTCAGTGTAGAAAATGGTGTGATGCGATTGATGCTTTCTCGTCTTGATTATACAAATGATGATGTACTTGATCTTTTGCGCTTGCACCATCAGGCCCTTGATGGATGCATCCGATGTCAGTGTATGTGCATTGAAAGTACAGACAGTCACTTTAGTCTTTCTTTATTTTGGCAGCCTAGTTCGGCCTTGAGATTTTATCAGCCTCTCCTTCATCATTCTTCTTATTGCTGCCGTATTGGTGGCTCTTTCAGTGTTAGGGGAATGAGACCCATTGTATTTACCATTTACCATTTACCATTTTCGGCATATCGAATATGCCATGGACAGCTTGCCAGGCTCTCCAAGAGGGATAAAGGCTTTTAGGGTGTCCTTTAATCGCCCTTGCAGGAGTTCCCATGGTTCAATCCATATTTGAACCCAATCAAATATGGTGCAGTAATCTTAGAAGATGGGTTTTAAGAGTCTTATGATGTGCCGTGCCACCGTGAAGTGGCGATGCAGTTTGGAAAGCAGCCTGGAGTGTGGCCGCGGCTTGGTAGTAGAAGTAGTGGAGGTAGTGGAGTGTAAGATAACATTACTTTGTCCTTTCTCTCTTGCCACAATGCGTTTAGGTTTATCAGGTCAAACCCATCAAATTGCTCCTGAGTCACTCCCATTCTTTTGTTTATCTGTAACCACTTCTCCATGCTCTCTTCCCCCAAACAGTTAATCAGCTTATTCCCCTAATCAGTTTCTGTTCATATGTAAGGTCAGATCTTTCTAGGACACTGAACTTATAAGTTAATTTTGCCTTTCTCCTCTCCTTATGTTTTTTGAATAGTTTACTTTAAAGCATTGTCCTTTTGTATAGACATAAGAAGATAATATTATGCTTTTGTAACTTGGGATTTATTTGCGTTTGAATATTATTCATTCCTGGGCATCTGCTTTCTCAACTTAAGCCTCAGTTACCCTCACTTCCTAGATCCCTCAGAAGCAGGGTCCTCACAAGGGACTGGATGTAACCAGGGCAAGCAGTAAGCTATGTGCTACTCTGGTATTGAGATGGGTCTGGCCAAACAGCCACAATTCTTAACTATAAGTTAAAAGTTTGATCACGGACAAATGCTGTCATGATCCAAAAGTAACTAGACTGGGACCCTACTAGGGATAGCAAAAACTAATCTGGCCTGAGCACCGTAGTCTGAGATCGGGATGACCCCAGGAGAGCTATTCTATAAGCTTAATGCATCTCTTACTGTGTCCATACAAAATGATTACTCTTATGAATGCTTGTATGTTTGTTGAACAAGGAGAGGAGAAACACACCCATGGGATTTAGCCCTTGGGTGAGTAGCCCAGCTGAAAGAGAATCTGTCCTAGAAGAAGCATCCCTTGAGGGAAAGAACTTTACCTCTATTGATTGGGACCACACCTATGTGTAAGCCCCAACCTCTAGATTTTGGGGATTTAACTAGACTGTAAGAGTGGGCTGGGGGATTGAGATCAGATCCAGAGTCAGAGCCAGAGGGAGAAAGGGGTTCCAGATTGGGCCCCAGAGAGAAGGAGAGAGAGAGAGACAGGAGTGAACAGGGATGAGAATGGAATAAATAGCATCTGATCAATCCACCAGCTTGGCCCTGAACCTGGGCGGCCAGGGAAAGAGCCTTTGCGGCCACCTCCTGGCCGCCCTCTGGAGATTTTTTTACAGTGGAGTCTGCTGATGCGGTATTTATCTGGTACCAGCAGGGTGAGGATACCTCCACTTGCTCCACTACCCTGCTGCTGCTACATTCCAGGCCACTTTCTGGACTCTTGGGCAGAGACTCACGCAGGAGTGAAGCCCCACAGAACCAGGTAAGCGGAACTTTGTGACTTTCGACTCCAGGCTCAACTGGACCTAGAAACAGAGATCTTCTGCCTGTTCCACCAATCTCCAGAGACCCAGGGATCACACACAGAAGCCCCACCCTACTGGTAACAGATAATAACAACTAACTTCACAATTTAATTCATTTTGAGGCAAATATTTGAATTTAACCACTAAATCAATATTTGAAAATATCAAACTAAAGCATAAAATTACACATTTAGATAATGTAGATAATGAAAAAAATTAATTAATCCAATAATTTGAATAGTTAAAAAATAAGGAAAAGTATTTATTTGGCAGAATCTCCACTTTAGATCACGTTTAAAATAATGGTTCAAAATGTTATTCCAATGTTGAACGTATTATTAAAATTTGAAGTATAATTTTTTTACACATGTAAATATGTCCATTCTTTATGTGAAAATTAAGAATCAAACTGTCCAAATACTGTCCTCCCATTGTTCATCGATTTGTTCGAGCAGTCCCAGTAATGTCTCCATTTTGAGACTTGTTGTTACTGTGTTTGGCATATTGAATATGTCACGGCTAGCCTGCCAGGCTTTGCATGTGGGCAAGATACTCTTGGTAGCTTGCAGGGCTCTCCGATAGGGGCAGAGGAATCAAACCAGGCTTAGCCGGGCTGACTGTGTGCAAGGCAAACGCACTATCGCTGTGCTATCGCTCCAGTGGCGATTTGCTCGAGTATTCCAAGAATACGCTTGGAAAATTAATAATGGACTAAAGAACATTTGCTAGGGAGTATTTAAAGAATTAACTCTATTTCCACATATTGTATCTGTTAGTTTTATGTTTCTGTCAAACAAATTATCCTAAACTGAGACTTGAAATAATACAATTTGCTACCTCTTACTTTCTTGTATAAAATTGGGACCACAATTTGCTATCTCTCACTCTAGTTTTCCTGTTATGTTCAGGTTTGAGCTGTGCCTTTTGTTCAAAGTGTCAATAGGTTAAAATCAAGATGTTGCCCAGAACTATGATCTCCTGTAGAACTGTAGAGCAGTGCTCTTCTAGATAAATGCTAAATTAAACCCAGATTCTAAAACTGTACATTATGACTTAATGTGGGAGTTGCAGAACTGAATGTGGGGTCATGAAAATGTTGGCAACATTAGAAGTATTCTGAATATATAGTAACCAAAAATTAATTCAAAATTGACTACATAATACCTCTGGGCTAATTCTGATGGTATTCTTCTGTGTTACATTTCTCAGGAAAAAATGGATTGAGTATGGAAAATGTTTTAAAACCCAGGTTTATAGCATTCAGTTCAGTGTGGTTGTCAAATGAGGTCCTTAGTTCCTAGAGATTACCCTCTTTCCTGTCATGTGGCCCCAACTTTCTTAAGACCAACAAAATAACTGACTCTTCTTTAGCCTATGAAGAGTCTCATGTAATTGAACACAAGGAAAAGGGTGGCTAAGACCATATTCATGTTATCATATTGCATTGGCTGGGAACAAATCAGTTTACCTGCACCTGAGAAGAGGTAGCTTATCAAAATATAAATCGTGGGTAAAGGGTAGAAAATGATGAAGGTGGTCTTAGGTTTCATGAAAGAGTATGTTGCCATGTTTTAATCGTAGTCTTTACCTTATGGTTCAGTTTCTAAGGATTTTCCAAGCATGTGATATATCTTACCATGTTTTGGGACTGAGTTCAGATGTAGAAACAGCTTTTATTATTCATTATCTGAACAATTCAAGCTGGACTTCACTAGTCAGTAGTTGGCCTATCTGGGTATAAGGCACAGTCTAGGCAAAGGGAGACTAAGCATTCTCACATATGCATTGATAAGAATAGGCACTGGTAGCACTGTCCTGCCATTGTTCATGGATTTGCTCAAGAGGGCATCAGTAATGTCTCCATTGTGATACTTGTTGTTACTGTTTTTGGCATGGGGAGCTTGCCAGGCTCTGCCGTGCGGGTGGGATACTCTCGATAGCTTGCCTGGCTCTCCATAAGGGGTGGGAGAATCGAATCTAGGTTGGCCGTGTGCAAGCCAAACACCCTACCCGCTGTGCTAACGCTCTCCCAAGAAGAATAGGCATGCTCATCAAAAAGGCCAAACGCAATGGAGAGATATGTTATTATCAGAGTACATGAGAAAGAGCTAGGGGCTATTTAGGAATAGCTATTTTCCATCTATTGAAAATTCTTATTTCACTAGAATACATTTCAAAAAAATTTTTTTTCTGAAATCATTTTATTTTGTTAAAAGAGCTCTCCCTGTACTAAAGCTTTTTAAACCAGTGTCTCTTTGGCAGTGAAAACCTGAAATTTGCCTTGGGCCTTTCAATTATCAAATAATTAAAAATTATGACCACTCTTCAAGAGGGGCTGTGAATCTTTATATTTTATTGCTAAGACTCCCTAATGCCGAAAAACATTTTATTCCCAAGAGAATCACTGCTCAAGTGTACAGTAGATTCAAGTTATTTCAGGCACCAAATGTACACAGGACAAATAGCAAAATGTCACTAGGGTCATTGTCAAAGCATTTTCTGGAATCCAGTATGGAAGGGCAAAGTGGGTGGATGGTCATTTAGGGGTAAGGAAGTCCTCATGAGTCCCTTAGTCTATTCAGATCATATACCTGAAAGGGAAAAAAATGATCTTTTCTAAAAAATGAATGATCAGTGGTAGGTGTGGGTGAGAAAAAACAGGGTCTGATGGCATTTTCCACAAAAAGAAAATAAAATTGAGACTTTAATATGAATCTCAGTGGTACCAGAAAACCTAAAATTCTTTATGGGGACTTAAAAACATTTATATAGACCATATATTTATATGTTTTATAGATTCCTGAGCCAGAGAGTTATATTCTAAGAAAAGTGAGTTGAATACATACAAACAAACACTATATATATATATATATATATATATATATACATATATATATATATCTCATAAGAATCAGTTTCCGTCGGTTTTGTGGTAATGTTAAAATCTTAGTGTTTTGCCCAGTTAAACTTACACAATATGAAATTTCTAGTTCATTTGTCCATAATTGCTTTTAATTGTCTAACAGAAATCACAAGGTCATATCAGAAACCACAATGATTTTTAATTTAAAAAAGTAATTTTTAAAAGTTAGTTTGATTAGGGTGCTGTGTCAGCTGAAGCCAACTCTAATGCAACCAGGTGCTCCAAGGGAACCTGAACCCCATCCTTTTAACCTTGACGAAATTGTGAACTCGCCCTGCCCCAGTGGCCACACAGACATGAGGAGCAGTGCCAACTGCAGCTTTGCTCACTCACCTTACACACTCAAAGGGCTAATGAGAAAGTACAGTTATAATTCAGTGCCAGCCTAACCCCCCAAAACACCTAGTAATGAAATGGGTGGAATTAGATCTATACCTGCCTGACCCTGGAATACCCTTATAGGGTAATGGAAATAGTCAAAATAACAGAGGCATAAGCAGTAGCCCCTTGATGAAAAATGGCAAATAAAATCACTACTCAAATAACCAGTAATAAAAGCTCCACTATTCGTATCCACAAACATCTGAGAATAATTGAAAAACAAAGAAATTCAGCTTCATTTCAAATAGGGACAGATTTTGGCAAGTCTTTGATTTCATAAAAATTCTTAAGCCTCAATTGAGAAGAACCTCAAATCAACATGCCATGCAATGGCAATGGAAATTAAGCAACCACTTGAATAGAAATTCAATCAACTCACA